TAGTCACATGTCACATCAACATCCACTGCATTTTCAATTTACCTAACCAAGCCCCGCCCACAAATGCAAATAGTAGCTGTTGCGAAGTTGCTTTACAGAATGTTAGCAAAAACCCCATTGTAGCTTAGGTTTGTCAAAATACCTCAATGCAATGCATTCATAATGCCACATTATTAGGTCAGATCAGATTTATTTTAATTTTTGAATTTTTAGTCATATAATTAAGCTAACATTAGCATGATGTTAAATTCCTTATTATTGCTGCCAACCTGCCGAGTAGCACAGCATTTTTAGCTGGAAACTCAATGTAGCAACCTTAAACAAATATTGCAGGTCCAATGTTAATAATTTACATATGTTGAATAGGAACGCACACAGGTAAGCCACTTGAGTACTCGTTCAACCATTCGAGGTGCCAGTATTTGGAAACTGAAATCACATATAGTGATATGCAGTTAGTATGCAAACTAGCAATTCAAAAAACAGCACTTATATGGTTTAACAGACTGCAAAATATTATGGTTTTATGAGTAAGTATATATATATATATATATATATATATATCATACTGTGCCACTTTGAAACATGAGTGTGCTGTTAAGGACATGATTAAGAATGTAGATGTAGTACAGCTTTGCTAACTACTCTAGCTGATGTTAGCTAGGTCCAGAAACACACACATCTGCTAAGCTTATCCTTCTGGGTCACAGGGGGAGCTGGAGCCTAGCCCAGCAGTCATGCAGACACAGGGAGAACATGCAAACTCCACACAGAAAGGACCCTGGTCGCCTGGCCAGAGTATCGAACCCAGGCCCTTCTTGCTGTGAGGTGACAGCGCTACCCACTGCGCCTGGCCGGAGAATCGAACCCTGGCCCTTCTTGCTGTGAGGCAACAGCACTATCCATGTTAGCACATTGTCCAGTTACGAGAAAAAACCTTGTGTGAGATAACGTCTTCATCAGCATCCAGTGTTGTAGCTAGCTACCAGCTAGTCATTTTTTTATTCAAAAATGCAGCCTTCGTTACTCATCCAGCATGAAAACTCTGGATTCCCTTGGCTTTTTTGAATAATAAAACATGTTTTCAAATTTATTTCTCTGAATACTGCTGAATTTTTGTGCTACTAGTTCTTTACACCAGTTCCGGCCTTATGCTAATTTCAGCTGAAGACATTTTTTGGTCGTTGTTTTTTTTCTTCCTCTCGCTACACTGCACTCGCATATCTGAATCACTATATAGGACAAGATTAAAATCACAACAGTAATAACAGAATTTGTAAAGAAAATTGCCACTCAGTAATGTCTTTCGTGTTTATCAGACACTAGAGGGCGCTTCTGTGTGAGTCCAAAATGAATGGTTTAAGATGGAGCATTTGAGCAAAATTGTAGTTTGTAAACGCTTAAACATTTTTATAAAGAAGAAAACATTCATTTTCTGAACACAGAACAGCATAAACATTTCAACACCACTGTTGTATTTTTGAGCGCTTTTGAATTCCAGTTATAGGATTTTATAACAGCGCCCATATATTCATGACATCAGCCAAATGAGCTGCTTTGCTCACCAATCAGTCAGCACTTAGTAGCAGTAATGCAAACCAATCAGCACTCAGTAGCAGTAACACTAGAGTCTTCCTGTCTACCTGTTTCCTGTTTGAAATATACAGTAAAGTTTTCTTCGCTTTTTTAGTGAAATACATCCTTCTGCTATCTAAAATTAAAGGCAGATCCTACACAAATGTTAACTTTTTTGTTTTTAGTCCTTTAGCTCCATTGAACATTTATTTAGGACTCACTCGTGTGCGCCCTCATGTTTTTGATATAACGAGAGAAATAGGAAGTGGCCAGGCTCCCCTTAAAACAAGCTCTGGGAGTAAACAATTCCGGACTTTAGGTCATACGGGTTGCTCATTACTGTGTGACAGCAGATTCCATTGCATAAACACTATACACGTCATGTCCCCAGTCCACTATAACCGCTGAGTTTGACCACACACATGAGAAGGGCTTACTTACATCTGTAACAGGTCTAAAGAGAGGTCTGTGGAGACGCTGCCATTGTTGATAGGCTCGCTAATCCTCCTTAGAGAAGCTGCAAGTGAATCTTCAAACCGAATAATGCAGTGCATTATGGGTATCCCCGATCCTCTGGGGTACATCGGTTGTACGCTACTTATTGCAGTGCATTATGGGACTGTTTGAGTGCACTGAATCTTATGCACTATATTTTTGGACACTGCTACAAAACGGCAGAACCCCTATAAAATGAATAGGGCAATGTTTCAGACACAGCTAAAATTAATTAGAACTGTGTAAAGCTTGCAACCTGGCAACCCTCAACAAATGAATGCATTTTGGGTAGAGCATGGATCAGTCAGTCATGTATCAATGATAACCTGAACATCACCCAACTGCCAGCTGATTATTACAGGCCTTTAGATGTCCATTCTTATGTCAGTCTCAAAAGCAGGCTAACAAAGGCTAACACTAATAATGGCTTATTGCTGATTTCAGTTCAGATTTTGTCTGCCTGTTTAGAGGACAGGAGAAGGACTGAGAGAGTCCTATAGTGAATTTTAAAGTGAATTAGTAGGTGAGAGATGTCACCCGTTAATAGTATGAAACAGCAGTGAAGGTGATTATTGTGTTTGGGACAGTGGGTATAGTGCTCCATGCTAAAGGGAGTAAACCTGAGGGAGAGCAGGAGTCCAGCATGACTTCATTCTCTCCCTCACATGGGAGTGCTAAAGCAACTGCAGGAGATTGACTCATAAACAGCTACTGTGTAGGAGGAAAAGAGAATGAGAGACACAGTTTAAGCTGCTCACGAGAAGAAAGGGAGAGATACTCAAGCAGGAGTAGCAGTGGTAGGAAGTGGATAGATACATGTATGTAAGATATGACAAACTGTCTACGTTTGTACATCATATGTGCACAATTTGTGTCTCCACAGTGTCTTTAACCTCTTAAACTGCATATTCAGTCACTAATGTGAAGACTTACAATTCAGCAACCATGTAACTATAAGTTATGTCATTTTAAAAGTAGAGGAATTGAAGTATGGGCCCACATATGGGATTTGAAATTAAGGGGTTAAAAGGTGCTAAAAAATGCCTGATTGTCAGCCATGAGCTTTCTGTGGCCAAGGTAATCAAAATTTGCCGTATTATCATTAGGAAGTTATTGCTGTGTTTGGATTTCTGCAGATTTCACAAATTGCAGATCTAGCTAGTCTGTCATTGTCATCACTGTCTTATGTGTATGTCATTGTTAACGGCTTCAAGTCTGAACAGTACCTGACTAGCTTTGTCCTATAAAGAGCCTTTGGGAATCTAGTCTTCGATATCAGACTGTTAAAGGAATTTTAAATACAGGCTATGGCCAGTACTTCATGTGACACACCACAACAATTACTAATAACTGTCTAATAATGATTTCAGTTTCAGAGGTCATTCATCATTCAGGTGGTTTCTTAAATAAATACACAAAAGCCCCCCGACACACACAAAAATGCCAATTTAGTTTAAATGAAAGCCTGAATTCAATTTTTTCAGTGTATGCATGATTCTTAATTACTCTTTAAGATGTGAACAAAATCATTCAGAGAGGTTTAAAGTCAAATGCACTATTCTAGCAAAACTTACCAAGAACAGTTAATAGTGGTGGTAATAGGGTTCTTATCACCACCACTGTAAAGGAATCTGAGTAAATTTCTCAACAGTGCATGATTTCACATCAAAAGACTCTGAATGACATTTCTAAAAAATGCATGGATTTTTCATTTAAATAGCAAATGCACTTTCCTGTTTTGCAGCAGCTATAGACACGACTCTAACCCAAAGCATCACTTCAGCCCAAAATGCAAACACGACTAGCAATGAATAAACCAAATGGAGACCAGTGAACACAATCTCATTTACATAATGATAACTGACCCTAACTAGCTTTTATTCTTTCCTTCCTTTATGCTGTCTTCTTCGTTAGTGGTGCTATCATATCATGACTCCACTGCAAACCTAATCTCAGAAAAACGACCAACCAAGTGCTTTCCACAAAGTATGTATTTTTAGAGCAAAGGAATGCTGCAAATCTTTAAATGGTTATGTGTGTGTGGCTGGAGATGGAGGGAGAGAGAGAGGGAGAGAGCAAGAAATCTAGTGTAAATATAAAGGAACTCTATTGTTTTATAGCATTCTTTTTGTTTATTTATTTATTTATTTTTACAGACTCTAGAATGTCTCTTCTAGACTCTAGAGATGATTTTTTGCCACTATTACAGTGTGAGTGTTTTAATGTAATAGGTTAAACTGATGTGAGGTCACTCAGCTGCTGTCCAGGGTGCTGCATAGTCTTCTCCTGTATATTTAAGTACAGAACAGTGAGAATCACAGCAGATCTGCACTCTGTACACTGCTGTGTTTCCTGCTGTAACGCACTGACTGGACTATCATCACTCACAGTGTAGTATCTAATCTAAGTCCAGCTGAGAGAGTCTGTGTCAGGTTAATATCAGTGGAGGGCTGGACAGGGCCCAGCTGCTGGAGAGCTGGACAGGCTCCAGTGTGAATGTGTGTAAGGGGGAGTTCATCTGAATGCACAGTGCATACCGGCGAACACTGCGAGTCTGCGTGGACAAGCACCAGGCAGCATTACACACACAGGCCAGAATATGGAGAGAGAGACCTCATCATTATCTACTATTACACTTCATTTTCCTCATTTCATTCTCCCAGCGTTCTCTTTCTTTCTGCTACAGCTCCGGAGAGGCAGCTGACCAGCTATAGCTGTTACACAGAGAGAGAGAGAGAGAGAGAGAGAGAGAGAGAAGAAGAGAGAGAGGCACAAAAGAGAGAGAGAGAGAGAGAGAGAGAGAGAGAGAGAGAGAGAGAGAGAAAATAGAGAGCAGGAGAAAGCCAAAATAGAACGAGAGAGGGAGAGGGAGGGGAGAGAGAGAGAGACAGGAGCAGAGAGAGAGAGAAAGAGGAGCAGAAAGCCAGCAAGAGAGAGAGAGAGAAGCAAAGAAAGAGAAGCAGAGAGAGAGAGAGAGAGAGAGAGCGAGAGAGAGACTCTCCGTGTCCTGCTGAAGTCTGAAGTGAATCCCTCTCGTTCCCGCGTCTCGGTTGGATGCAGAGTGGACTGACTGGACGGCGGTCTGGACGAGTTTTTATCGTCGCTTCTTTTCTTCGCTGTGGTAAGAATCCCTGATAATTATATTTTATTCACCCCACTGAACCCGGCTCCGTGTGTGTGTGTGTGTGTGTGTGTGTGCAGGGGGCGGGGGTGCAGGTTGTATGCAGTCCGGTAGATCGCAACGGCGCGCGCGGACGTGCCTGCTAGCAGAACTCACTTTGTAGCCGAGCACTGACTCTGCGCGCGCTCCAATGGTGTGGAAACGGAATGCACGAGCAGGAGGAACGGGGTCTGTGCTGCTGGTGGCTCGCGCTCCGGGCATTGCCCCCGGTTCACTGCGCTCTTTGTGGGGGAGCTCATGGTTCAAACGGCCAGCTGGGAGTTTGCTGTGGTTTACATGGACAGGACAGATTAACCGCCTTCAGCTTAAACACAGAGAAAACATGAGCAGCATGTATCCGCTGAGGGCTGTGCAGTCGAGTAGACGCTTTAACCGAGTAAAACGCCGAGAGTCGGTGGATCAAACTTGGTCCTTACAACGTCCTGGGCTTTTATTAGCACTCGGGTTTGCATAGTATGGTAGACGAGGCAGAGTCTCATACAGACGACCAGCTTTTTTGGTCTGAGATTGAAGGCATTTGTGCGCTGCTGCGTTCCTAAACGCCTTTGAGGTCAGCCTGCAGTGAAAAGCATGGCAGAACCGTGTGCTGCGTTTCTAGTCAGTGCATGAATTGCGGTTGCAGAGGGGTCGATCCCCCTCACCCAAACCCCACCCACACCCACTGTGAAACACACAAGTGCAAGAAAATCACAGCTTCACCCCCCAAAGCCAGATATGGGTGCAATCCTGTTGAAATCATCTCTGTTTATACACACTTAAAAAGATGGCTCTTCAAAGGTTCTTTAGTAAAGGCAGTGGTTCTGTATAGAACCATTTCATGCTTAAATGATTCTTTGCATGGTTAAATTGTTCTTCAGATTGATGGAGAATGTGCTGGATATGGTTCTATATGGAACTTTTTTGCTCACATAACAGCAGCAGAATCCTTTTGGTGCTATATAGAACCATTATCAAAAAAGCTGTATAGAATCATATGTACAACACATTCTCTGTCAATATGAAGAACCATTTCACCATAAACAGAATCATTTAGGCTTGAATTTGCTCTATATAGGACTCATGGTTCTAAATAGAACTATTGCCTTTTTTAAAGAACCCTTGAAGAACCATCTTTTTAAAAATTGCATGCAGCATTTGATTGTCCCTAAAAGTATTTACTCCGTTTTACAGAAGACGTTCAAGTTCCGTGAACGCAGTTACAGTATTTCAGTTTATATATTTAATCGAGAATCGTATTGATGTATTTTATTCATGTAAAACCAGCTGACACATTTTAAACATGCATTCAAAGCAGTATTTCTGTCAGTGTTACCTGCATAAAGTTTGTCATTTTGGGTCCAAAACATTGCAACTGGTAGATTATTTCACCCCAGTGTTGCTACTGGCACTGCGATTTGGATCTAATGTGGAAACATGCCTGTTCAGGTTAATTGAGTTTGTTCAGATGACACTGATCTGTGATGTGACTTCTTCTTCATGGTTTAACACTTCAGCTGGGAGTGAAAGAGAGCGAGCATTGAGGGGAAATGTTGCCTCTGACCTTGTGATCTGTCATGGTGTCAGTGAATCAGAAATGAGACCCCCTCCCCCCTTTGCCTTGCCTGGATGAGACTGAGGATCCTTAGGAGACCATTAAAGAGTCTACAGTGCTTGGATGTTGTATAATAAAATGAATGTCTTTTCTATTTGATCTCTTTCTATCTTAGTTCTGCATCCTGGTAATAAAAACAGGTACCAACAACTAGAAAATTCATAAAGCAGCAAGATATAGACATAGGTCTAAGTTAAGAAAGTAATCAGGGTCCTGGTTGTCATCTCCATCATAATAAACAATATCTTTGAATATTTAGAGGAGAAAAGGCTGGGTTGGTATTTCCAATGTGAGATTTTAACCTCATACCAACACATACAGAGTGACTGATGATTCTGTCTTTGCAGAGACTGTATGGCTGTAACAACATGTCACTCTGATTAATGCATTGATTGTAAAGAAGATGATGTTATCATATTGATTCAGTGTACATACTAAGGCTGGGATATATGTACACTGGTATACCATGATATTGCTTCTCAGTTTCAGCTTTCATGTTTAGCAATATATTTGATAAATAATGAGCACTTTATTCATATTTTTTTTTGGGGGGGTTTTTTGGTTTAAAATTAGATTTTGTGTGCTTTATTCTTGGTATCTGGGAACACACAAAAAATGTGTTACATCAACATGATTATTTCCTTAACTTTACTTGTTTTGGCAATTATTGTGTTAATGCAGTACATGAAATACATGTGCAACTGCCTGACATTTTTTTAACCATGTCAGTTCAAAGTGCCAGTGCTCCAGATTGTTTTGAAAGAACAGTTTAAAATCCAGACTCTGATTTCTGTTTGATTAATGTTTATAATATTGCGTAAGACTCACTTTTGTGGTAAACAGTCCAATCAAAGCAAGCCATCTGGTCTTGGTAGGACATTATTTTAGTTAGAGTAGCAGTACTCAGGAAGCATGGGGTCATTGTCTTTATTAATGCTAACTTAAATATTAAATATCTGATACTGTGATAGCATCATATATGTTGAAAAAAGAACAGTAGAAAGTCCTGAAGCAGTAAAAGTAGAAGTATGTTTTCTCAGTGATGGTAAAAATCTGTAAAATCATGTAATTTATTAGAAATACTGTCTTTGCTGTAATTCAACTGTTTCACTAGTTTAACTAGTTATTCTGACATACAGTATTTTTCCATAAGAATAATAACAGTTACAATAGTTACTACAGTTAAAATAAAATCAAATGACTATGAAAGAAAGGTAATTTGTTTTTGTGAATTTACATTCTCTTTCTGTAAATTAACAGCAGTGTTAAAATACAACAGATACATGGTTTATTTACATGCAAAAAATGGGTATTGACTATTAAATTTTACAATACTTTGCACATGATGATACTGAATTTTATTAATGTCACTAGCCCTATTACATTTATAGACCAATCACAAAACTAAAACTCATGAAACTAAAATTCTGTTTTGTGCTTAGAGCTTTTTACAGAACAAATGTGTTTAAGGTTGAAATGTTAAGTTACTAAGATGATAGCAACTATCTTGGAGTTTTCATTGGAGTGCAGCTTAATAAATAGTTACTGTCCACTGTTTTTTGATGGTGTTCATTGTGAATGTAAATATAAATGTGTTGCATTGGACATTTATAACCTATGAAATATGAAATATTGAATGATTTCTTACAGATCAAATTTTTATCTTGTTCTGGTAAAGCCTTAAATGTAGACCCCAGTATGGCACCTAAAATAGTGAGAAAAACATAGGTGAAAGTAGAGCTGGGCGATATGGCCAAAAATGTTTTCACGATAAATTCATATCGTTCGATATCGATACATACCGCGATAAATGTCAAATCATTATGTCTTTCAAGTTTGAAGGCTGGTTTTTGCTCCTGGGTGGTTAACTGCTGTTTTAAACTATCCTTTATGGTCCGAACACGACAAACACTCACCAAACAGTGGAACATTTCACTAATCTGTCATGGGAGAGTGAGAGAAAGTGTCTGGTCAACTGTTTTTACCAGCTGGAAAAGCATGGCTATTTTGTAATAGTCATAATTTAAGAAAGAAAACAGATTATTTTTAGCTGGTGCCGAGCGCTCGGCTACCCCGCTACAAATGACATCACGGTATTCAAACACCAGCTAGCGACGACTGGATGTCTCTGTTCTATCGTAGTAGTTTAAGGGGTGGACCGCAAAATATCAACACCAGACAAACAGAGTCCTCCTTTTAGGTACGTTTAAACTAAAAGCGGTGCTTTTGTGTCATGTTTGATCTACAGTATCATCAGTTCACCGTGTTGTGCGAGTGACGGAGCACTGCTTCTAGTTAGCCAACTGCTAAAAACAGCTAGCCTGGAAAGACAGCGCTCTCCCGCTCTCTAATGCCTCACAGCGTCCTCAGTTTACTTTCGTTTAAATCAGGGCTGTAATTTACATGAACCCACTTCTTTCTTTCACTTTCGTTGCTCGGGAATGCACTAATACTTAAATATGACTGTCTATCTAGTGCATATCAAATAAAATGTGCATGTTACATTATCTCAACCCAAACTAGACCAATTTATATTCACATTCTGGTCAGTGAAGCATATATAACCCTTATTAAACTTCACCTAAGATGTAATAATAACAAGCTCTTAGTTTGGTTTTGTCTTGTTTTTGTTATCAGCTCATATAAGACAATTACAGTTATATTTAGATAAAATTCACACTACATTTAGACCCCATTCACAGTACATTTTGACACCATTCACACTATGTTTAGACACCATTCACACTACACAGGCAAATGTGAAGATCCAAAGTTTGAAGAAAATACAAAAATCACAGAGAATACAAATCATACAAAGAAACCCCACAATACAAACCAAAGACTGAGCCCTGCTGTTTGCTGTGCCACTTAGATTAATGAAGTTATTTGGGCCTGCCCCAAATGCTGACTGTATTCTGTCTTGAACTGAAAAAGATGAATCTCTTTAGGTTTTCAGCTCAGTTTGTGGTGTGGGATTTGACCATTTTAAGTTTTTTAAGTTTCTGTTCATAAAAAACAATATACTTAATTTCAGCCTTTTGTGGTCCGACCATATAATAACTGCACAAAGATTATGTGAAAACTGAACAAGAAAGCAGAACAGTGCCCTAAGATCTTGATGCCATGGCTTCGCTGAAACCATAATGAGTCTGTAGGGCAGAAAAAAGGTAAAAACCCAAGAGACTTGTTACAGTTTGTACTTCAGTAACTAGTAAAAACAAACAAATAAACCCTAAGGGAACACTCTCTATTTATCTGCTGCTTTAACATGGCCAAAAAATTATATTACAGCGTAATTAAAATATCTGATGCTTCGGTATATATTACAGTTTTTATTTGCTTTTTTTAA